ATGCTGCTTTGTTTCCAATCTTCATTCCAGTCACCAGTAATTATCAGTATGTCTTGATTGCATGTTTGGTCAATTTTAGACTTCAAAAGTTGGTAAAAAATCTTCAATATCTTCATCTTTGGTTCTAATGGTTGGTGCATAAATTTGGATAACAGAATTAACTGGTCCTCCTTGTAGGACATATGGATATTATCTTATCACTGACAGAATTGCGTTTCAGTATAGATCTTGAAGTACTCTATTTGATGATGAATACAATGACATTCCTCTTCAATTTATCATTCTCGGCATGGTAGACCGTATGATTATCTCATTCAGAATGGCTAATACCAGTCCATTTCAGCTCACTGATGCCTAGGATATGGATTTTTGTGTGTTCTACTTCCATATTTGACAACTTCCAATTTTCCGAGATTTATACTTTATATATTTAATGTTCCAGTTATTAATGGATGCTTGCAGCTGTTTCTTCCCATTTTGAGTTGTACCCCATCAGCAAACGAAGCTCCATAAAGCTTTACTCCATCCATGTCATTGAGGTCGACTCTACTTTTAGGAGGCAGTTCTTCCCCAGTCACTTGTTGAGTGCCTTCCAACCTGAGAGCCTTGTCTTCTGGCACTATATCGGACAGTGTTGTCACAGCTGTTTATGAAGTTTTTCAGTAATGTATCAGACAGTTTTCACTGCTTTTTGTAAGATTTTTAGTGGCCAGTTTTTCAGAAATGGATTGCCCCACCCTTCTTCCTAGTCTGTCTTTGTCTGGAACTTCATTGAAACCTGTCCACCTTGGGTGTGACCCTGCTGTTATTTGAAACACCTGTGGTATAGTTTCCAGCCTCATAGTCTGCTTGCTACCACAGTGTGACAAACTGACTGATGAGTGGTGGTTCTGCCTCTGGGAGTGCACATTTTAAGCCTAGCAGAATGGCAAAACTGAACAGTCCCCATGTTAAACTTCTGTACATCTTATTTAAGTAGCTCTGATCGTGCAGTGCCAAAGGCATTTGATTGCTATCCAGAAGCTTGGTGGTTATGGACGTTATTTACATTACTTACATTATTAGCTAACTACCCAGTCCCCTGGTGGGCCACAAGCACCTTACATTTGCGTAGTACCATGCAGTCATCTGGTGGGAGTCACAGAGATCGTGGCTAGAAGAGAGCCTTACTAAGTAATTCACTACAGTATGTATGTGTGGAGCTCTTACTATGAATGAAGCCATGAAGCAGGGTAGCCATAGCAAACATTGTTAGTACCTTTAAACTAGTTAAAAAATATCTCTAATGAAAACAGTTTTAAGAAATCTAATGCATTGGTCAATGACCTGTTCATCTTTTGGCAATATTACAAGCATACATTTCATAATTATCACTGGATAACATTAATAACTCCTTAAGCAAGGTTGCTTTACTATAAGCATTTAATATTATTGATCTTTATTTGTATAAATGAGAAAGGTATGGTATTATTTATACTCATGGTGATATAAGCAACATGGCAGTCTACTTCTGCTGCTTCTTGGTAGATTGCTATTATATTGCAAATTTGTTCAAGATCCTAACTTGGTACTTAAGAATTTTTGTCCAGTTTCACTTCATTCAAAGCTTGATAGCTAGTTCAAGATTAATTTTCCATAGGAATAAATGTTAAATAAGACTGATGCATTCTTTGGGCACATAAATCTCAGTTGCTGGAGTGTATTTTTGCTTATAAGCATGATAAACATAAGTTTAGTAATGTGAACATAATGTTTCTATCATATAAGACATCTGTTCTAAAGTTAGTCTTTTTCACACTGGCACTAGCACTCCTACTGACCGCAAACTTGGCTAACACTATTACAGATTTTAAAAGTATTTGAAAATATAATATGATGAATATTAAACAATAAAAGCCAGCATATAAATAAATCACCCAAATCACCAGCTGAAATTCCAATGCATTTAATAAGAATATGATTCCCATAATGTCAACAAAGGGTAGTGAGTGCCACTTATCAATTGAGGTGGCACTGCCATGTGATAATAGTGTAGATAGTTCACTTCCCTTGACTCAACCACTTTCTTATTAATAGTCATCCAAGTAGAGGTGAAGTGGTAGGTAGTTCCTAATTTTGATTTGCATTTACCTAATGACAAATGAAGAAGTCCTGGTGGTACAGTGGTTAAAACATTTCGTTGCTGACCTGGCTGCTAACTGAAAGATCAGCCGTTTGAACCCACCAGCTACTCCATAGGAGAAAAAACTAGCAGTCTGCTTCCGTAAAAATAATAGCCTAGGAAACCCTATTGGGCAGTTCTACTCTGTCTTACAGAGTTGCTGTGAGTTGGAATTGACTTGATGGTTCACAGTGACAACAAGAACTGTGACTAATGAGCATCTTTTCATGTGCTTATTGGCCATTAATATATCTTCTTTGGAGAGAGATCTATTCCAACCCTTTGCCTGTTTTTCAGTTGGGTTTTCTGGTAGCATAGTGGCTAAGACACTTGCCTGCTAACCAGAAGGCTGGCAGTTCAAACCCACCAGCCACTCCTCGGAAGGAAGGTTGGGCAATCCTACTTCCGTAGTGATACTGCCTCGGAATCCCAAGGAGGGGTCGCTATGAGTTGGGGCCGACTCGACGGCACATAACAACAACAACAACAACAATTTCTCATTTCAAAATATTTGAAATACTAAATATTCTAGAGTAAGTAAGTAGTTGCCTCTGTTTTTTTTTTTTTTTTAAATAATGTTTTACTGTATTTTAGGTGAAAGTTTATACAGCAAATTAGGTTCCCATTTAACACTTGGTATACAAATTGTTCTGTAATACTGGTTACATTTTTCACAATGTATCAGCATTTTCATTATTTCCATTGTTCTGATTCCATTACTCTATCTTCCCTGCCACTCTTTACCTTCTCACCTTTGCTTTAGGGTAAATGTTGACCATTTGGTCTCATATAGTTGATTATTTATAGGAGCATAGTACTCATGGGTGGTATGTTTTATTCTATAAGTCAGTCTGTTTATTTGGATGAAAGGTGACCTCCAGGATTGGCTTCAGTTCCCAATTCAAAGAATATCTTAGGGCAATAGTTTCAGGGGATCCTCAAGTCTCTATTGGGCCAATAAATCTGGACTTTCTAGGAATCTGAGTTTTGCTCTATATTTGTGTCCCATTCTCTCCAGAACCTTCTGTTGTGTCCCTGGTCAGAGTGTTCAGTAGTGGTACCATCTAGTTCTGCTCAGGTTAGATGAGGCCATGGTTCTTGTGGGCTATTCTGTGGATGAGTTTCTTCTTTGACTTTTTGGTTTCTTTCATTCTCTTTTGTTCCAGATGAGTAGAGGCCCATATATCTCAAATGGCCGCTTGCAAGCTTTTTAGACCCAGGTACCACTCACCAATCTCAGGGTGCAGAACATTATTTTAATGAAGTATGTTATGCCAGCCGACCAAGTTGTCCCATGAGACTGTGGTCCCAAGCTTTCTAACCTGGTAAACCAGTCCTGTGAGGTGTTTGCATATGTCTCGAAAGTCACTATAACTGTGCTCCCTGTATGTGTTATTACATATTTTATATTATGTATATATGAATATATATGCTAGTTGCCTCTCTTATAAAATGCATGTTACTATACTTTCCCCATGACACTATATTGTGTGTGTCTCCATATGACATAAAGGACAGTGAGTGGGACAGGAAGACAGCAAACAGTGTTGATCTCCAGCCACTGTGCTTATGTGCTTTACATGTTTTCTTATTTAATCCACATACCAACCCTGTGAGCTTATTACAGATGAAGAAGCTGAGGCTTTGAAAACGTAAATAACTTGTCAAAGGTCAGACAGTTTTAAAGTAGAGGAGCTGGAATTGAAACTCACATATCTACTCCAAATCCACTGCTTTTCCATCATTCCACCTACTATTTTTCTTCTACCATTTTTCCTGTATTTGTGTCCCTGAAAACACAGTTCTCAAAATGTAAGCTCTGAGAGGATAGGACTAGAACTACATAGTTCTCTTACTAGTATACACGGTAGCAAAAATGCGTAATCAAGTGCTTTAACAATTCAGAAGAATAGATTTCAGTATTTTAATTGATACTTTAAAAAATCCCAGTTTCTGTTCGTACAAGAATGCAATTAAGAATGAGAAATAATTACAGTGATACTTGTATGATTGTGTCAGGAAGATGAAGAAAATAGTAGTAAGTTACATAAATATGAAAATACTAAAAAATATTTGGAGGATTTGAGGGCTTATTTTGTTTTCTTCAGTAATTTGAGATTGGATTTTTATATGAGTTACAAATAGGCCACTAATATTATGGTTTGGGGGCCCTGTTCTTCATAATTAAGAATTTCTCTAATGAAACACATAATGCTGTTTATCTCTTATTTATTATAAGACTTAATATTATTTGTCTTTTTAAAATTCATATCAGGATATGGTTATACAAGCTCTTCAGAAAACTAATAACAGAAGCATAGAAGCAGCAATTGAACTCATTAGTAAAATGAGTTGTCAAGATCCTCGACGGGAGCAGATGGCTGCAGCCGCTGCCAGACCTATTAATCCCAACATGAAGCCAGGTGACTAATCAAACTTTTTTTCCCAGTCTCTTCTTTTATAGTATAGTTTAAAATTTTTCAAGTATATTACATCTTTATTCTTAGAAACTGTTAAAACCTTTCCTATAAGTGAAGATCTCAACTTAGAACAATAATGCTATAGTATTATACCTATAGGAATTTGAGGATGGTGCACTCACATGTAAAAGTTTGGTAAGTAATTCAGTTAAGCAGCAGTCTAGGTTGAGAACTACTTCGCTGGTTGTACTACAACTAAAATACCTCTTTTTTCCCCACAAATATCATCACTCAAACTACTCTTTTTCTTCTTACAATTTCTTATTATACGAATGAAACATGCCCATCATAGAATATTTAGAAAGTAAGGAAAAAGCAAACATCACTACTAATACCCACAGTATTTTGGTATGTTTTGTTTCCCAGTCTTGTTTCCTGTGTGAGTAGGCTTGTATGTGTGTGTATTTTGGTTCTTGATTTAAGCAGAAAATTAGGTCTATTGAGATCTGCTTTAGTCACCATGCATAATTTTCCATGTTACTAAATATTCTACCGATTATTTTTAATAGTCACATTAAAATAAATATCACATAACCAATCCTCATTTCTGGACATTTGCCTGGTTTGCATTTATTTTTTTTACCATTATAGACAGTATTATAGTAAATAACTTTGTGGCTAAATCTTTTTCCATTCCTGGTGATTGTGTAAAAAGTAAATTTAAAAGGACTTGGAAACTTTTAAGAATTTTGATAGATTTTACTTACTATCTGGAAAGGTGATATCAACTTACATATTTTTTTTATCAGTTTAATATATGAATGCATATATTTCTAAACCCTGGGTGCTATCATTTTTGTCTATTTTGTGGCTGAAGAAGTGCTAGCTCATTTTACATTTATATTTTTTTTGATAACTGGCAAGATTGAACATTTGTTATGTTTAAATCACTATTTTATAGTCTTTGTTAGTCTTGTGCTTGTCTTTTCTTACTGATCTATAAGAAGTCTTTGTTTGTTTATTGATTTAACACATTTTTCTTGATCAAATAATATTTCAGACCTTTGCTTGGCTTTGGATATAAAGTTCTCGTACTTTTGTAGAGCTTATTTTCTAGTAAAGGAGATTACATCATCACACAAATACATGTAGAATTTCAACTAGATGAGTGTGGATGAAGAGAGTTGTGTAGTACTGTGGACTCGTATAATGGAGGGATTTTTTACCTAATCAAAGAGATCAGAGAAAACTTTCCTGAGAAACTGATAATAGAGCTGCTATCTTCAGAAAGACAAGGGTTAATGGGGTTGTGGTTAAGGAGGAAGTACATCTTATATATGGCTCCTTTGGTGTGGTTTTGCAAGAAGGTCATGGTGGCTAGAGCACTGAAAACAAAAGTATAAGATGTGGCTGGAGAAGTACATGGGGCCTGACTATGCAAAACTGTTTCATTGATTTTATTTTTATCCTTAGAGCAGCAGGAAGTTATTGAAATGTTTCAAGCAGGGTATGACATGATTGAATTTGTGTTTCAAAAAGATGGCTGCAAGATAAATATAGAGAGATCAGTATTCATTGATGGTTACCAGGAAGAGGAAGAGAGTAGGGAAAGTATGTTTTATACAGTATAAACCAGAAAACCCAACTAACTCATTGCTGTCGAGTCATATCCAACTCATAGCGACCCTTCTTTGGGTTTCCAAGGCAGTATCACTACAGAAGTAGATTGCCCAACCTTCCTTCTGAGGAGTGGCTGGTGGGTTTGAACCACCAGCCTTTGGGTTAGCAGTCAAATACCTTAGGCACTATGCTACCAGAGCTCCATTATACAGTATAGACTAGTTATTTTGGGTATGGGAAAAAGTGGCACTGATTGTGGATAGAGTAAGCACAGCACAACCAAAGTAAAAACGAGCATTTGAGAACTTAAGGACAGGCATAAGCAAATTGGTATATAGGAAGGTACAGTTACTGAGAACATAGGTGAGAAAAGATAGAAGTATCTATGTTGTTGTTGTTGTTGTTAGGTACTGTCAAGTTGGCTCTGACTCATAGCGACCCTATGTACAACAGAATGAAACACTGCTCAGTCCTGTGCCGGCCTCCCTCACAATCCTTGCTATATGTGAGCACATCATTGTAGCCACTGTGTCAGTCCATCTCATTGAGGGCCTTCCCCTTTTTCTCTGACCCTCCACTTTACCAAGAATGATATCCTTCTCTAGGGAATGGTCCCTTCTGACAACATCACCAAAGTAGGTGAGATGAAATCTGGCCATTCTTCCTTCCAAGGAGCATTCAGGCTGCACTTCTTCCAGGACAGATTTGTTAGTTCTTCTGGCAGTCCATGATATTTTTAGTATTCTTTGCCAACCCCACAACTCAAAAGCATCAAGTCATCTTTGGTCTTCCTTATTCATTGTCCAGCTTTCACATGCATATGAGGCGATTGAAAACACTCTGGCTTGGGTTAGGCGCACCTTAGTCTTCAAAGAGACATCTTTGCTCTTCAGCATTTTAAAGAGGTGCTTGAACAATTTCTCTTAGAAAGATCAGCACAAGGCTGGTCCATATGAGGCAGAGGTTAAAGGTTAAAGATGTCCCAGATGTACAAACTACCTCATTTCAGACATTAACTTCTCTTCCTCCTCTCAGTAATTACCCTCAATTAAGGTTCTGTATTTCACTGTAACATCTCACGGAACTCAAAGATGCCCAGGGATCGTTTCACGTAGTGGTGGTGGCGGCTGGCAGGCTGGCAAGTCCCAGGTCTTTAAGTAGCTGTAGAGGATCCTCCCAATTCTTGGGGTTTGATGAACCTCAGTCAGCAGATCAGATGATGGCTACTGTCTCAAATCCAAGGGTGAGATTACAGTGAGCCAAAACGCAGAACCGGAGCAAGAGGAGGGCAAACTTTCCCAGAAGATTCATAGGTACACCCTCAAGGAAACAAAGGGTGGTGATTTGAGTTATACTCTCCAGCAAGACAGGACTCAAGATATGTTCCACCTGTGCTACTCCAACAGAAGTAACCCAAGTGGATGGCTTTAACAATCAGCAACTACTCAGTTGCCCACAGCAAATCCCACCACAGAGCCAATTGTCAGTCATTATAGGGAATGACTACTACCAGCTTCCCAGCCAAGTTGACACACGACCTTAACTACCACACCACCTTAAACAGGCATGGATAGTAGGATTTACATTATATCACAAAATGGAGGACAGTGGCTAGAAGGGCCATATCAAACAATTCAACACAAGAGGTCTTTTGCAACAGATTTGCCTGGTACAATATGTTGTCTGATGTCTTGACTGCTGGTTCCATTGGTATTGATTATGGATCCAAGTAATATGAAATCTTCTCTCCATTTATCATGATGCTGCTTATTACCAGTGGTGAGGATTTTCGTTTTCTTTATGTTGAGATATGTAATCCATACTGCAGACTATAGTCTTTAATCTTTATCACTAAGTGGTTCAAGTCATAATCACTTTCAGTAAGCAAGGCTTTGTCCTCTGTATATCACAGGTTGTTAATGACTCTTTCTCCAATCCTGATGCCGTGTTCTTCTTCATGTGGTCCACCTTTTCAGATTATTTGTTTAACATATAGATTTAGTAAATCTGGTGAAAGGATACAACCCTGAGGCACTCCCTTCCTGATTTTAAACCATGCAGTATCCCCTTGTTCCAGCTACAGCCTCCTGGTCTATGTACAAGTTCCTCATGAGCACAATTAAGTGTTCTAGAATTCCCATTCTTCTCAATGGTATCCATAATTTGTTATGATCCACACAGTCGAATGCTTTTGCATAGTCAGTAAAACATCTTTCTGGTATTCTTTGCTTTCGGCTAAGATCCATCTTACATCAGCAATGATATTCCTCATTCCACGTCCTCTTCTGAATCCAGCTTGAAAGTTCTCTGTCAATATATTGCTGCAACCATTTTTGAATTATATTCAGTAAAATTTTACTTGTGTGTGATATTAATGATACTGTTTGATAATTTCCACATTCTGTGGGATCACCTTTCTTTGGAATGGGTACATATATGGATCTCTTCCAGTCAGTTGGCCAGGTAGCTGTCTTCCAAATTTCTTGGCATAGAAACATCTCAGTGGGTATTCTGTCAATACCTGGAGCCTTGTTTTTTGCCAGTTCTTTAAGTGCAGCTTTGAATTCTTCCTTCAGTACCATTGGTTCCTGATCATATGCCACTTCCTGGAATGGATGAACATTGGCCAGTTCTTTTTGGTACATTGACTGTGTGTATTCCTTCTGTCTTCTTTTGATGGTTCCTGCATTATTCAGTATTTTGCCCATAGAATCTTTCAGTATTGCAACTCGGGGCTTGAATTTTTCTTCAGTTCTTTTAGTTGGAGAAATGCAGAGCATGTTCTTCCCTTTTGGTTTTCTATCTCCAGGTCTTTATCACCATAACTGACTTTGTCTTCTCCAGCTGCTCTTTGAAATCTTCTGTAGCTCTTTTATCTTGTCATTTCTTCCATTTGCTTTAGCTACTCTCCATTCAAGAGTAAGTTTCAGAGTCTCTTCTGATACCCAATTTGGTCTTTTCTTCCTTTCCTGTCTTTTGAATGAGCTTTTGCTTTCTTCATGGATGATTTTCTTGATGTCATCCCACAGTTCCTCTGGTTTTTGGTCATTGGTGTTCAGTGCATCAAATCTCTTCTTTAGCTGGTCTCTAAATTCAAGAGGGATATAATCAAGGTCATATTTTGGCTCTCGTGGACTTGTTTTAATTGTCTTCAGCTTCTACTTGAACTTGCACATGAGCAGTTGATGGTCTGTTCCATAGTCAGCTCCTGGCCTTGTTTTGGCTGAAGATATTGATCTTCTCCATTGCCTCTTTTCACAGATGCAGTCTGTCTGATTCCTGTATATTCCATCTGGCAAAGTCCATGTGGATAGCCACTGTTTATGTTGTTGAAAAAAGGTGTTTGCAATGAATAAGTCATTGGTCTTGCAAAATTCTATCAGTGATTTCCAGCATCATTTCTATCACCAAGGCCATATTTTCTAGCTACCGGTGATTCTTCTTTGTTTCCGACTTTTGCATTCCAATCACCAGTAATAATCAACATATCTTGATTGCATGTTCAGTCAATTTCAATCTGCAGAAGTTGGTAAAATTCTTCAATTTCCTCATCTTTGGCTTTGATGTTTGGTGCGTAAATTTGAGTAATAATAGTATTAACTGATCTTCCTTGTAGGCGTATGGATATTTTCCTATCACTGACAGCGCTGTACTTCAGGATAGATCTTGAAATACTCTCTGTGACAATGAATGCCACACCATTCCTCTTCAATTTGTCATTTCTGGCATAG